TTCTTATGTGTATTTGTCATTTCTTATTATATATTTATTTTATTGTATTTGCATATATATATATATATATATATATATATATATATATATATATATATATATATATATATTAAATTTAGACCCGTCCTTCCAAGCTGGATTTTTTTTACAATATTTGTTACATTTATTTATTTTAGAAAATATATTATTGTATATCCAAAAGTCTAAGATATGTTAATTTTTGTACATGTATTATATAGTTTGCTATTGTCAGTCCGTGTTACCAGCATATTTTATTTCTGTACATAAATATTTTATACGTAAAGAAAATAGAAATATACAAATTTATCAGTTTAATATAATTTTACATATTTACCTCAATATAATAATTTTCTTTTTATGTGATTGATTATGATTACATAATAGATAAGAATAGGATAAAAATTTGATGTTTTTCTTTTATAAACGGTAACTAAATATATTAATGCATAATAATTGTTCTTTGCTGATAAAAAATATTGAAAATATTTATATAAACCTTTTGAAATTAAGATATTGTTAAAGTATTGTCAACAGATTTTTAGAATTTAAATATATATATATATATAAACTAATGATGTAATTAGTGAAAATATTTACATATAATTAAAAATAACATATTATCAAAATAAAATATTAATATCTAAAATGAAAAGATATCAAAAGATATTATGATTAAAATAGTTCAAATATTTTATATGTTATCAGTTTTAATAAAATTTCTAAGAGATTGTTCAAGTTAAAAAATGACACATGAAAGAATTTATGACTTTATATTAATAGATAAGATGATATTTTATTATAATTAGAAATTAAATTGAATTATCTTCGGGAATAAAATTTTAAAATGCTAACAAAACTTGTTAGGTTTTAAGAAACAACCATTGTATGTCAAATAAAAATAAAGATATAGAAATATATTATAATTAAATTTTGTAAGTAATAATCCAAATTAAAAAACACATACATGAAGTAAGTTTAGAATAGTACACGCTTTCCAGCTATATCTAATAACTTGGTTCTATATTATAATGTATGATATACGCAAGAGCAATTATAAAGTATCACAATTCGGTTTGAGGTGATTATAAAATGATGGTGTGAACCGGTAAAGTCAGATTTTGTTCTGTTTATTAATGTATGATCTATGCAAGTAGCAATTGAGTAATGTATTAGAAATGATGATCAATACTGGTTAAGTCTGATGTGTTATTCTGTTTATTAATTGTATAAACCGAATAGGTTGATAGGTGAATCTAATCATGTATTAGAAATATCTATACCAAGGTTAATGGTTAGAACCGGTTTAAGTCCTATTTTTGTTTGTTTGTTTATTAGTCGTATAATATATAATGTATTCCTTAATAATATCAAAATATTTTGGTTAACTAAACCGAACTTATAGGTGTTTATTGTTATCGATATTTATATGAGGTGAATTAGTAAGTCACAAGATGTATTAAGAAATGAATGAAACATGATTTCCAAAGATAATCCATTTTTAAAGTACAGATATTTATCCAACAAAAAAAAAGACTAATTGATGGGTTATTAAAAAGAAAAACAAAGCCATGTGCAAATGAATTAGTTTTTCTTATCGAAAAAGAAAAAGGAGAAAAATCAGAATGGGTCGAGGTGACAGTGTCAGGATAATGAGAAGGAAGAGACAACGGGAGACGTGAAACGCGTTTTGTATAAAGAAAATGATGACGTGGCGAATAATTTCAGATTGGCCATGCATGAATCATGATTAATGCAAAAGTCTCACAGTCACTCACGACTCCCACGTTACAATTCATTTTATAATTTGACACACTTGTTAGTTTCAGTTACAAACTAGACAACTAGTGAACTACTAGTTACATACTTACATGTACGTGATAGAGTTGTAAGTTAAATAAGAAATAGATGTCCTGTCTAGTGCACGCATGTGTAAGAAAGTTAAAAAGCAATTTATGATTTAATATGTTTTTCCAGATAAACTTTCTCATGGTATCAAAATAGCATTCACATTGGGGAATCATGCTAATTATAAAGCCAATCATTTTAAATAATATATTCTGAATCTACTTGATCCCAAATCAATATCTTGTTTTAGAAAACATAATCCAAGCTATCCACCTACTATTTACAGTATGAGAGTTTCTTTACTCGGTGGAAGAAATTTGATTTTATTTTTGGGAACTAAATATGACAAGTAGTAGAAATTTGATTTTATTTTTGGGAATCATGCTAATTATAAAGCCAATCATTTTAAATAATATATTCTGAATCTACTTGATCCCAAATCAATATCTTGTTTTAGAAAACATAATCCAAGCTATCCACCTACTATTTACAGTATAAGAGTTTCTTTACTCGGTGGAAGAAATTTGATTTTATTTTTGGGAACTAAATATGACAATATTATGGGGGATCCAGATCTTACATTTTAATACCTATAGTTATAATTAATATTAAATAGACATAATTCTCCAACTTTACTGTATACAATGTTGATTTGAAGATTACAATATAAAACATATATAAAGAGTTTAAATTGGTCAGTTATTGCTGGAAGTAAAAGTCCATAAACTTGTGACTTTGAGTCTTTGACTCACCATATATAAACATCACTTAGTTAAGTTATAGATTGTTCGGGATCAATCAACAATAGCTACATATTTAAGTTTTAATATCAATGTGATAGACTGATAGTCAATCAATTATAACCGCTGTTGTCAATTTTTTGGGAAATTTTGGTGTGTCATTGTTAAAAAGACTAAATTAAATTACGCAGCTTTTATTTACCCATTGACATGAGAAAGTTTGCTATTTAAAATAAAAGAAATAACAAAAAACATTGAATAGGTCAAACTCTTGGAATGTACTATAATATACCCCGAAGGAAAATGACTTAATAACGTACGTAGTATAGTTGTTGAATGGGTCAAACCATGGATGGTTGGATTTACAATCAGATATTCTTTTAATGCTCTTCCTTGCAATTTTAGATATGTATGGTTGTTTCATTGTTTGTAGGTTTGTATAAGATTTAGTCAGACCATTTTTTCTAGATAAGTGTACATTGTCGCACTATCATAGAGACCAAATTTAATACGAACGATGCCTCTCACCGACCGTTAACTTGAAGTTTACAAAAATCGACAGAACCGTCTTAAAATCAAATACACACTCGTCTATAGGCAAAAAGCACATTAAAAGAAGACTAGGAAAATCAAATACATACTATAGGCAAAAGGCACATTAAAAGAAGACTAGGAGCTGGTATTCTATTAGCATTGCTCACTGAGGCTTACCTGCATACGAATTAGGATTTCCCTTTTGTTTCTGTTTCGAGTTTAATTCTATGCGGTTTCGATATTAATGGGTGCACGAGAAGAGATTATGTAAACAAGTTACATATGTGAGTTTAGTGAAGATAATGGAAATAAATGGTGCTGTTAAAATGTTATTCCTTAGTTTCAAAAATGTCATAAACTGTTTATCAAAAAAATGTCATAAACTAAAAATAATGAAAATGTATTTTCAATAATCACATCGATATATACAATAGTATTTGAAATAAATAAAATTAATATATTTTAATTAATTTTATTTTAATATTAAATTCAAAATAATTTAAATTGTATTAGAATTTAAAGTGACATTTTTGTGTAATAAGAAAATGTCAAAATACACATTCTATAAAAGGGATAAAATACTTAACAGAAACAACTATGACTGGGTAAATAAACGTAACTAAAAAAAAAAGAATCTAACTAATAAATATGAATCCGAATGAATTTGCACACAACATAAATACTGAATGAATATTGTTTTACTGTATTTTTGATTATGCCTTGTACTCGAATGGAACCTAATGGATATTCAGAAAAAAAAAATTCTAAATTCCAAAAACCTTGTACTATATCCAATATCAAGTTCTAATATATACGTAAAATACACTAAGATATTATTAAGTACTTCGAATAATTAGTTATACATGAATAATTAACTCAAATACTTAGTAATATATATTTTTATTTGGTTAATATTTTTTATGTTTGCAATTAAATTTAAAGTTTGGTTATTAATAAATTTGTTTTGAAGTTTAAACAATTTTTAAAAATTTAATAGTGTTTCTTACGTTAATAGAATTGTTATTATATTTATGTTTTATTAAATATAATTTCCATTCGTACGAGACTTTGATTTGTCATGAATCAATATTTAATATTGTCATGTATGATTAATAAATGATTTTCATAAATTATTTTGAATGACAACAATATAGTTTGAAGAAGCTAAATAATAAGTGTTTTAAAATAATTGAAATATATTGAAATTAATTAAGTGGTATACTTATAACTGATAATCCGATTAGTATATGAAACTAAAACTGTTTTGGGTTTAATTGAATCTTAGACTTGTAACTTAACTTGAACCAAACTCAAATCAAATCGAATTCGATTCAAATTTTTATAATATATAAATGAAATTAAAACTAATGAATTCGAAAATCTGAAACTTTAACAAACTAACCGAGATTCAATTGATATTCCGATTGGATTGTCAAGTGATAGAAACAACAAAACTATAACTACTGTATTGCAAATTCATAACTTAATAAATGATGCAAATTATTAAATAACTCTCGACATCCTCAAGTATGAAAATCAGGGACGTCATTATCGTTAATTAATACTACGGGATTAAGTTGGGTCTTGGACTCATGGGTTTAATCAATTAAGACCGTGGACTAAACAGAGCTGAGTCAGACATCCGTACAACACTGCTGACGCGTGTCTTTACTTCCTCTCTCCTCTCTACGCGGTTTCTCTCTTTCTCCGCCGTCCTATTTATTATCTCTCCTTCGCCTTCATTCTTCTACTCCTAACTTCATCCCTCCTTAATATAAACAAAAAACAGAGAGCTCAAGATTCTATATTCGATTTTTCACCGTCTACGATTCACTGTGGTTAATAAAAAAAATACAAAAAATGGCGTCGTCTGATGGATTAGCGAGCGTTGAGCCATGGTCGTTCCGACAAAGCTTTAACAACATCGACTCATGGTTACTTCCAGATCCTTTCTCACACGACAGTGATGTACTCGCTCAAGCTCTTCACAAATCAATCTCTACCTCTACACCCACCGATCCTTTCTCTCCTTCAGCTTACTTCGATTCCCCCGCCGCCGCCGCCGTCTCCGATCTCTCTCCTCCTCAGACCCTCTCTAACGTCTCCTTCGTCTCAGATCCCGACATCTCCGCCGCCGGTGGGAAGAGGAAGCGTGTCTCTGGTGTCTCCGGTGATAAACCAGCGAAACGCAGGTCACGAGTCTCTAAGAAGAAGTCTCAGACTACGTTTATAACGGCGGACGCGGCTAATTTCCGGCAGATGGTTCAGCAAGTCACCGGCGCGAAGTTCGTCGGTGGCTCTTCCAACGGCATTTTTACTCCGATCGTGAAACCGGAGCCGCATAGGCTCGCTAGTAGGGTACCACCAGTCTCAGCGTCTGTTCCCACGCTTGATACGTCGTCGTTTTTGTCTAACCATCACCAGGAGAACATGGTCAACGATTTGGGGTCTGTTTCAGCACCAGTGAGTTCGTTTCATCAGTCAAGAACGGTGGAGACGGTGAAGTCCGGTGTTGGTGGTGGTGGAGGATCTGCCGTGGAGTTGGATGGTTACCCGAGCTTCCCGACCCTTGAATCGTGGAAAGTAATGTGATCTTATCGGATTTAATTATAAGTTAGTGTTTGTAGATGTAGTCCCTTGTTTCTCTCTTGTTTTCGTTATGAACATCTTGTTGTCTGGGCTTTGTGCCTATGGAGTCTCTTGTTCATACTGTTGGGGGATTAATGAATCAATGGTTAATTGCAATTTTTAATTTTCTTTATGATTTTAACAAAATAATCCAGAAGCTAAAGAATATCTTTTGATGGTCCCATGGAGATGTTGTCAGTATCACACAGAAGACAATCATATACGGTTACCACCACCACAATTATGTTTTCATAACTGGTACATATCATATAACTTTTTTATAGTATAAGTGTATATCCCTAGAAACTGGTACTCATATTCTCATAACATAAAAGCTTAGTGTAAAATATACAAAAGAGAAGATTATCTTCCAAGAATTACACCCATGAGACCATGTCAAAGTAAACGATAGTGCTAGTCTGCTAGAGCCCAAGTCAAAAAGATTATATCGTAAAAAGAAAAGGTTAAAAAAGCTCTCGTAATGGGTTTGGTGATCGGACAAAAATAAAATAAGAAAATAGATTATTTTAAGAGAATTTAAAAGGTTAAGTTGAGAATATTTCGTGAAGATATTAATTAATTACAGAGAATGAGAGGTGTGAGAAAAGTCGCAAGCAATCTGAAGTATTTCAAAGTTTCAATTTTTTTTTTCCAATACCACCTTGGGGTCAGGTCAGTTCAAAAGCTGAGTCAACGTCAATGCTACAAAAGAGGAAGCAGTGATCCATCATCTATCAGCAGTCGTGTTCTTAGTTTAGACAGTAAAACGTCACTTGCGTTGAATACTCGACTCCTAAATTGCACGACACCGATGTCTTGTTCTGATTAAACTTGCCCATTAAACACATAACGTAAACTTTAAACAGACTTCAGATTCTGAAACGTCTCTCACCAATGTGGACACAAGATTTGGATGAACTTATGATTTTTTTGGATCTATGCACAATGAATTTTGCAGCCGAATCTTTTTTAGGAACATGTGGACGGTGGAAGAGACTACTAATATCTCGGCAATAAATATAAGGAGGGACCCTGGATTGACCAAGGGATTGATTGCATAATATATAGTCAGAAACGAAGACTAATGAAACGGTGACAAGTATAGGTGGTTGTTTGTTGCACCTGAGAAGGGTTTATGAGGTAAACATCATCTGCTTTGACTTAATCAGGTTCAGACACTTATCTATCATCTCATGTGGATCTGTCTTTGGACTTCTAATATATTGAATGAGGACGACGACACAAATGAATATTCTTATGTGTTAGGTTTAATTAGAACCGATTATATGATGTAGATAAACCCTATAAGCAAGTGCCAGAGTGCAACACTGTAACACATACGAATCAAATCCATGTGTAATTTTATATTTCTTTTTTTTCACCACCGAGTTTGGAAATGGCTCTTGGAACTTTGTTTTCACATCCTTGGGCCAATTACAAAGGATTAATAGCAATCTACGACATTCAAAGTTCATCTATTGTATCAGCATCACTTGTATAAGCAATTTCTACAACTATTAGCTATTCATCAGTCTTGACCTTATTTTATGTATCTATGCATTGTCTAAATCCAAAGAAACAAATCGATGCTTTTATGTTTATGTCCCGAGAGCTCTCTCCTTTTCATTCCATGACAAGTTCAAGCAAGGTCACTCCTTTATGTGGTTAGCCATACGCTTAACTAACATCTCTTAGAGCCATCATCAACTCACCTCTATATTTATCTCTATAATAACATTTATAGGCAAAACTACTCTAACCCATTTCTATTTCACACTAGAGATGGTCTTACATGCAAATTATTTGAATAAACATGATCCCGGTTGTACTAATCAGTCTTTCAAAATAAACTTTGTTACAGTGTTTGAGCACCGGATTCTGTTGCACCTATCCTCCCATCTTTCGCTCACATGTTCTTCCTTAATAACCAAACGGTTCAAAATACATTGCTCACTCTTTGTGATGGTTATATCTATACACTAAACCCTCTGTGTTATGAATCCTCTTATAGAACTCTCAGGTTGAGACTAATCCAAAACAATGTTTGCATTTCAAAACTCATAAATATGGTTCAGGAAAGTTTACAGACATTACAAAACAAGTTGAATTGAAAGACAAGTAAAGAGTCATCATCATGATCATGTCTAGACATTCTTAAGCTTCTTCATCTTGGAAGGAGGCCATCGACCCTTCTTCCTCAACTTACGCTTACGAACCAGACGTTTCCTTCTCAGCCTAATCTTCTTGGCCAGCTTCATCTTCATCCTCTGTTCAAGCAGTAGCTTCTCTTTAGCTTCTTTTGACTGCAATGGCAGTTTGTCAACTGGAACAGCAGCAGCAACAGTCTTCGGTGGTTCCTCATTGCTCTCAGGCTCAGCTCCGTCCAGGCCAGAAGCACCTGCCTTCACAATTACTGCTCTTCCATGGCTACTGCTAAGGTTGTAAGCAGCGAGAGAGACTCTGTTCCTGGTGTCGACGGTGTTGGGTTTAAGGCTTAAAACTGAAACCCATACAGTGAAGAAACCAAAAGATCAGAGCATTCACAAGCCAAAAAACCTAAGTGTTCGACGAAATGACTCAGTGAAAAATCTAATTCTAATTTCTGCAGCTTTAAACAAAGGAAGAAGCTTTTCGCTTCAAAACTAAGAAACTCAAGTAGCCCAGGTTTCTTGGGTCTGTAATGGAGATCTGAAGCGGAAGTAATAAGTCAGATGACTAGAGATTCAAGTGAAGCTGCGTACCTGGTGAAGCGGAAGACGATAGTTGAAGCTTTGGGGAAGAGAGAGGAGCGAGAGAGTTGAAACAGAGAAGAGACATCTTCTTCGAACTGGAGAATCTCCCCTTCAAAGAGTCATTTGAAGTTTTGTTTCTGGATAAGCTTTTTCTTTCTCACTCGGTCTTCTTAACGAACGGATTGGATTTGATCCGGATCAATCCGGTTTGCACTTTGGTTTAGATTCGATATTTTTTCTTATGCACTGTTATCCGGTTTCGCTTTGATTTTGCTTTGGAAGTAACCAAATATTTCGGTTTGGCATGCTGTTGTTAACCAAACAGAAAAGTTTTGTTTTCGGTTCAGTTTGACAATTTTTTAAAAAGTTCAGTTTTTGATTCGGTTCAGTAATCCGTGAGTTTAATTTTCTATTTTTTCACCGAACTATATTGATCTTAACCAATATTTCATACCAAACTAAATGAACTAATTAAAATCCGAACCAAAAATTGAATTCAACCAATATTTTTTAGATTTGCACATAAATCTAACATAATTCAAAATTTTGGTTAAATTCGATAGAAATTTTTGAAACCAAACAAATCAAAATGAAGCAAGGCATGCCGGGTAAGATCTCTCAACATAAAACCCTCTCTTCTTGTTTTTTTAATATGTTGACAAACTTTTCTTGCAGGTTCTTGAACAAGGGTTTGTCTGATTTCAACTTAGCTCTTGACTTGGGTTTCTTGACAAAAGCAAGGAAATACACATTCTTCAAACCCAAGTTCATCTTCTACGCGACTTACTTATCAGAGAAAATAGGGGACTGGAGATACATCACAATCTACAGACACCTCAAGCAAAACCCTGAGTTCCAATGCTACCCTATCTTCAAGTACTTTGAGAATTGGTGCCAAGACGAGAACCGTCATGGAGATTTCTTCTCTGCTTTGATGAAAGCTCAGCCTCAGACCCTCAGTTCCTCAATGACTGGCAAGCCAAGCTCTGGTCTCGCTTCTTCTGCCTCTCGGTGAGTAAACACTTTAACTCTCTACTCCCAAATGTGTGGCCTAACCGGTAAGGGAACTTGTTTTGTAGGTTTATGTGACAATGTACCTAAACGATTGTCAAAGAACTGACTTCTACGAGGGTATTGGTTTAAACACAAAGGAGTTCGACATGCACGTAATCATCGAGGTAATAGAGCTTGAAACCACAGGGTTATTACTAAGCTTGTGTGTCTGAAAATGTTGGAGTTTTGTTTCAGACAAACCGAACCACGGCAAGAATATTCCCTGCGGTGTTGGATGTTGAGAACCCTGAGTTCAAGAGGAAACTAGATAGAATGGTTGTGATCAATGAGAAGCTGATGGCTGTAGGACAAACAGATGATCCTTCCTTTGTCAAGAACCTCAAGAGGATTCCTCTCATTGCTGGTTTAGTATCTGAGATCTTGGCTGCTTATCTCATGCCTCCTGTTGAGTCTGGATCTGTTGATTTCGCTGAGTTTGAGCCTAATCTTGTCTACTAGTAGCGCTGCAGTGTCAAGTCTTTGAAGGCTGTCACTGAATGATCTTAACTGAGATAAACCAATATACTTTTACTGCATCTATCAATCACATTTGCACAATGGATACACCAAAATTCAGATTTTATTGGAAATGATTGTTACAGTTGAGTTTACTACATACAAAAACACATTATGAAACTCTAATAAGAAAACAATCTCAGAAGAGGAATGAATATGAGAGCTAAAAAATCACTACTTATTCAGTTTTTGCCTTAGGTTTCACTTGTTCTTCGGTCAGAGGCTTGAACACAACATTGAAAAACCAAACAGCAAGCAATGTAGCCTTTATAGGTCCAAGCCAATATACAAGTAAATGCTCTTTTGTTATATGTTCACCTCGTGCATAAGCCCATCCCATAACCTGCAAAAGATTCCACACAATCAAATAAACAAAGAGCTAAAGACAAACATCAGTTTTTTTTGTTCTGTGTGTGAGGGTTCTTCATACCGATGCAGGATTCATGCATCCGCCGGTTAGATCAGCACCAAGAACATGGAGAGTTAACTTAGCAAGGCTACCGATCCAAGTCTTCATGAAGAAACTTCCAGGTATCTTTCTTGCTAGTCCCAATGAGAGCATTACAATGAAAAACGTTAGTATTCCCTCTGTTAATGCGCCGTGATGGATTGCTACGTTTAGTTTTGGTCCTTTCCCAATCTCAGGGAAAACATGAATGATATGTTTCACCCCAAGGATTGATCCTATTACCTGAGAAACAAAACAAAACAGAACAGAACAAAAGATTCATCTTTTTCTACTTGTAATAACAAAAATATTCATCCTTTTCCTTTTCTACTTGTAATAACAAAAACAGAACAAAAGATCACAAAAAAACAGGAAAATAAAAATCCATCCTTTTCTAATTGTAATAACAAAAGCAGAACAAGAGATTAATATTTTCTACAAAAATCACAAAAACAGAACAAAAGATCACAAAAAAAAACAGAACAAAAGATTAATCTTTTCTTCTTGTAATAACAAAAACAAAACAAAAGATCACAAAATGAAGTCTTTAGAAAAAAAAAAAGCAAAGATGATCATCATGAGTTCTTGTAACATGCAGAGAATGTTAAATTCATAATGATTACCTCGACGGGGATTCGAACCAGGACGGTGAATACGAAAGTGCTGAAGCCACCGGTGACACCAGCAGCCAAAGCGGTTAAAGGATTGTAAAGACCGCCATTGGAGAGTTTCTGAAGGAAGGCGAAGACGAACATGGAGATAATGGAGAAGAGATACCGGACGATCTCGCCGGTCGTATCTTTCCGGCTAAATCCGAGTACTCCGTGAACTAAGATGTTGATAAGAACTCCTGTCCATGTCCACATGAAGGACAATACAAGATCAGAAACCACTATACCAATTCGACCCATTTACGATTCTGACAATGAGAAACAATAGAAAAAAAATGATTCACAGAAAGAACATCAAGCAGGAAGCTTTTTCTATGATTGGAGATGAATTGAAAGATAGAAAATATAGGAGTTATAATTGGCTCTCAGCGGTTAGTGATATTTTGTGTATTTGGTTATAAAAATATGGTGTGTGAGTCAGCTTCCGACAATAAAGGTTTTGTTCTGTCTGAATCTTTGGCTTTGTTGTCATGAGATAAAAAGGATTCTCTACTTCGGAAACCATCATAGAGCATGTTGGCTACATCATACATGAAGGAGAGGAGGAAGAGTAATTGGAACGGTAGAAAGTTACTAACCGGGTCCAACAACTTTTGTAACCGGTGAGGAAAATATTTTATACGCGCTAATCGGTTTAACTAACCGTATGTAAAAAAATATTACTTCCTCCGTTCTTTCGTATTAAGTATCACAATAGAAAAACTTTTTCGTTACAAAATAAGTGTTATTTTTATTTTCAATGCAAAATTTATTAATTTTCTTATCTAATTTATTTTTATTGGTTAAAATATGATTAATTATATATGTAATTGTGTGTTTTATATAAAAATATACAAAAATAATTATTTTCTCAGTACGTGTACAAAACTAAGGTGAGAAATAGAAAGGAGTATCTTTTGTAAGAGATACAGAAAGTATATAATAGATACCCTATGATTATGCACTAACGGCTCTCTCTTTAGTGCTGTATATTAACTTTCCTTATTTCTCTATGTACTCTGATGTATATGCACCTCCTCTGTGATAATACAAGACATACAATTCCCTAAACCTAATATGGTATCAGAGCTGTAGGCTCCAATTTTTTTCTCCCGCCACCTTCTCATCTCTGTCTCTTCTCAACCCTATTTTCTTCTCTCTCTCGACAACTATGTCTGAATCAACTGCTGAAAGAACCTATGTGTTCAACACACAAAATCCCCAAAGCACTCTACTTTCGGTTAACATGTCAAGTGTTACCAAACTCACAAATATAAACTATGTGATGTGGAGTCGACAAGTCAGAGCCTTGCTATAAGGCCATGAGCTACAACACTTCATTGAAGACACCAACACGGCTCCTCCGCCCACAATCATGCTCGGTCTCCTCTCCGAACCCTGCGTTTGCTCCATGGCACTGCCAAGATCGTCTTCTATACAACTCTCTCATCGGCTCCATCTCTCTACCAGTCCAGTCCGTTGTTTCCATTGCTAACACAACCAAAGAAGTCTGGAATACGTTAGCCACAACCTTTGGTAACGCTTCCCGTGGTCATGTAAGGCAACTAAAAATCCAGATCGAACGCTGCGTCAAAGGCACAAAGACAATCACCGAGTATTTACGCCACATCAAGTCTAAAGCTGATGATTTGGCTCTCTTAGGGAAACCAATGGATCATGAGGATCTCATTGAATGGATACTTGCAGGTCTTAGTGAAGACTATAAACCGAAAGTTGATGCTATCCATGGCCGAGATACAGTTGTCTCCTATGCTGAACTCCATGAGCGGCTCCTTAATAGAGAAGCCATCATCATGTCCGCCGAAACAGCTCAGATCACTCCCGTCGTTGCTCACGCCACCAACACTCGCTACAATCATAACAACAACCATCACTGGAGACGCAACAACAACATCAATCACAACAATCAGACTCGTCAAAACCACAGTTACAATCAACAACGCGTCTCAAAACCTTATCTAGGCCACTGTCAGGCATGTGGCATTCAAGGCCTCAGTGCTCCATACTGCCTACAGTTCCGTATCGTTCATGGCGATTCAAAAACCCAACAGGCGCAGACACAACAAAGGAACCATGGTCCTTGGAATCATACTTCACCGTCTCAACAATAGCCACCTACTGCCAATCCAGCAATGATGTCTGATTCCTCCACATGATTACTTGACTCTGGTGCATCTCACCACATGACCTCTGACTTAGCCAATCTGTAACTGCACAATCCATACAGTGGTGGTGATGGTGTTCTACTTGGCGATGGTTCTGGTCTCAACATCTTCACTCTGGTTCCCTCTCTCTACCATCTTACACTAAACCATTTTTCCTATATAAAGTCTTATGTGTTCCTGCTCTTGAGAAAAATCTAATTTCAGTTTTTCAATTATGTACTGCTAATGGAGTTGCCGTTACTTTTACACCAACTTATTTTCAGGTGAGGGACCTGGAAACAGGGACACTGCGTCTCGAAGGGAAACCTAGAGATGGCACATACCAATGGCCACACGTCTCTACATCGAAACCTTCTCTTGCATTTGCTTCTGCCATGAAGACATCCTTGTCGGATTGGCATTCCCGTTTGGGACATCCAACTTTTTCAATTCTTCAAAAAATAGTTTCTCAGTTTCAATTACCTCTTGTTTCAAACGCTTTAATGGCTCAGCCTTGCAATGCTTGCTCGATTAATAAAATGCATAAGTTACCATTTCAAAATTCTACTCTTCGATCTTCTCATCCGCTAGATGTAGTGTTTTCAGATGTTTGGACATCTCCAATTATTTCAATCGATGGTTTCAAATACTACGTCATTTTTGTAGATCACTACACAAGATACACATGGTTGTATCCATTAAAATTAAAATCCCAAGTTTTTGATGTTTTCACTCGGTTTAAAGCTTTGGTTGAAAATCGATTCCAAACCAAGCTAAGAACTTTATACACTGACAATGGGGGTGAATATATTGGTTTGCGAGATTTTTTTAGGGCAACATGGTATTTCTCATATGACAAGTCCACCGCATACACCTGAACATAATGGCATCGCGGAACGTCGTCATCGACATATTGTAGAAACAGGACTTGCCCTCCTTTCTCATGCGTCGATGCCAAGGTCCTATTGGACATATGCGTTTGCAACGGATGTCTACTTGATTAATAAAATGCCATCCTCGGTTTTAGATTTCAAGAATCCTTTCCAAAGTCTTCATGGACATAGTCCCAATTCTCAAAAATTAAGAGTATTTCGGTGTTTATGTTTTCCTTGGATTCGGCCTTATACATCTCATAAGTTGGATGCCAAATCAACACCCTGTGTTTTCCTTGGCTACTCTATTATGCAAAGCGCATATTTTTGTTTAGATAGATCAACCTCTCGCATTTATACATCTAGACATGTAGTCTTTCATGAGCATGTCTTCCCATTTTCTTTCCCTGCTCATATAGAATCTGATGTTACTGATGATATGGATACTCCAACGTACTCACCTCCTGTCCAGCTTGTGTCTATTAATACTAATCATGCAGGTTCTCCTCCTTCATCGCAACAACAACCCTCACAAACCACAACCGGTTGAGAATGAGACTCCTCCAACGTTACTGGAGATGGAGAACCCCAGACCACCAACACCACCTGCATCCTCTCCTACGGTTCCAGCCAATCCATCAACATCTGGAGCGCAACAACCTCAGAAAAATCGTCCCCCTCTCCCAACCAGGCAGAGCACACGCCAACGCAAACCGGTTCAAAAGTTGAATCTCCACACAAAAGTCGCTCACACAATAGAGATTCCACCTACAACCGTTGCTCAAGCTCTAAAGATTCCCCACTGGCGGAAAGCCATGATAGATGAATACAATGCTCAAATTGGTAATCATTCATGAGATCTTGAAAACTTGACTGACGATTCTCATTTTAATGTTGTAGGTTGTAAATGGATATTCACCATTAATAGAAATCCAGATGGGAAGATCGCGAGATACAAAGCTCGACTCGTTGCCAAAGGCTTTACACAAAAACCCGGAATCGATTACCACAATACCTTTATCCCAGTAGTCAAACCCGGAACCATTTGTATTGTCTTGAGCACTGTCGTCTCCTCAAACTGGCCCATCCGTCAACTTGATGTAAACAATGCGTTCCTCCAAGGCACACTCAAAGATAAAGTCTACATGATGCAGCCACCCAAGTTCATCGACAAAGAAAACCCCAATGCAGTTTGCAGACTTCGGAAAGCCATCTACGGCCTCAAACATGCTCCGCGAGCATGGTATAATGAGCTCAAGCAGTTTCTACTTCACGCAGGATTCATCAATTCCTTGGCCGATGCATCCTTATTCATATACCAAAAACAAGGAGTTTATATTTACATGCTTGTTTATGTTGATGATTTGATAGTAACAGGAAATAGTTCATCACATATATCTCACTTCATAAACTCTCTCTCACAACGTTTCTCTCTTAAAGACTTAGACGATCATTCATTCTTTCTTGGTATAGAAGTAACTAGATCTACCAAATGCATGCTCCTAACTCAAACTCGCTACATTGCAGATTTACTCCATCGAACTAAAATGGAAAATTGCAGACCTATTGCGACGCCAATGTGTTCCACAACAGCGATTACTCTCTTCTCGGGTACTCCACTGCACGACCCGGCTGAGTATCGAGCTGTAGTTGGCAGCCTTCAATATCTTTCTCTCACACGGCTTGATATCTCCTTCCCGGTAAACAAGATGTCTCAATACATGCACAAACCAACCGATGAACATTGGAATGCCGTCAAACGCATACTGCGATATCTTGCTGGTACGATGACAAAAGGAATCATGCTTCACGCAAACAACACTCCTTCTCTACATGCATTTACCGACTCGGATTGGGCTGGAAACAAAGATTATTATACTTCAACTGGTGCATATATAGTATATCTTGGTCGTAACCCCATCGCATGGTCCTCCAAGAAACAAAGTGGTGTCTCCCGCTCCTCAACAGAGGCCGAATATCGATCTCTTGCCTCTACAACAGCCGAAGTTTGTTGGGTCGTTTCACTCCTAACTGAGCTTGGTCTCAAATCTCCTACAACGCCGGTACTTTATTGTGATAATATTGGTGCAGCATACTTGGCCGCAAACCCAGTTTTTCACTCTCGCATGAAGCACTTGGCACTAGATTATCACTTTGTCCGACAATATATACATGCAGGTCAACTAAGGGTCTCTCATGTTTCAACTCATGACCAGCTTGCCGACGTTCTTACTAAGGCACTCCCTCGCCCCACGTTTGATTCTTTGATGCTCAAGATCGGACTCTCTACCGGCCGTCCGTCTTGTGGGGGTGTGCAAGAGATACATAAAGTATATAATAGATACCTTATGATTATGCACTAACGGCTCTCTCTTTAGTGCTGTATATTAGCTTTCCTTATTTCTCTATGTACTCTGATGTATATGTACCTCCTCTGTGATAATACAAGACATGCAATTCCCTAAACCTAATATCTTTTAGCTCTACTAATATCCCATCAAATTATCAAATTGGGCTCATAGACCTGATCATATAAGCTTAAATTATAGAGTAGCCCATGAATTATAAAGTTGGAAAATATCCAACGATACACAGTTTTTACTTGAATTGTAAGTCCATTTTTTTTTTTTTTTTTTGTAAGTCCATTTTATGTTATCTAGATTACTGGCATGGATTTAAAATTTGAAAAGATCAAATACATATATACAGTTAAGTCGTTAGAGTAAAGTGGGTTTCGAATACACATAATCTGTTTAGCGCTAAAGTGATCTTTAATGAAAATGTATGTATGTTTGAGAGAAAAACTCGGAAATGCTAACTGCTAAGAATAGAAAGAAATGGGTCTTGAATTGTTTCTCTAAATTTGAAGGCTTTCAGTGGTTTGAGGAGATGAACGGTTACTTAATTCACAAGAAAAGATGAAATTTCGGAGAGAGAGCGATGCTTCGATCCCTTAACTCTTTTGGCCATTAGTTTTTTTCGCTATCTCTGATTCTTTGTTAGGTTTGGATGATTATTCACAGAAGCATTCACTCAGAAATGTTGCAATCCAAAAGACAAAAATAAACTCTCTTTTTTCATATGAATTAATGACAATGAAGACAACAAATCACAGAGTTTAAGCTGCATTGAATCCTTGTGCTGCTTTTTATTGTCTGATCTTTGTGTATGTGTACATCTATAGGATTTGTTGTTTAGACAAGAACAAATATGTTTGCTTAGAGTTTGTTCTAGGTTATATATATACATATGTCTCTAGAAAAGAAAAAGAAAATGAGCAAGGAACAAAACTGTGTTCTAAAAGCTTGGGAGGTGACAATGAAAAAGACCCAACAAGCCAAGAAACGAGCAAACACCATGTTTGGGACAGTATCGGTAGCTCCACAAACAGATGATGAAACTACAACGACCGATGATAATGATGATGAGAGCAGCATAGGTGAAATGTACCAGGCAGAGAAAGTACTACCTAATGGAGACTACTACACAGGTCAATGGTATGATAGTTTTCCCCACGGCCACGGTAAGTATATATGGACTGATGGTTGCACATACATTGGTGAATGGTACAATGGCAAGACTATGGGGAAAGGGAAGTTTGGTTGGCCTTCTGGTGCTACCTATGAAGGAGAGTTCAAAAGTGGGTACATGGATGGGACTGGGACTTATACAGGTCCTAGTGGAGATACTTATAGAGGTCAGTGGGTGATGAACTTGAAACATGGACATGGGATCAAGAGTTTTGCAAACGGAGATGTGTATGATGGTGAATGGAGGAGGGGTTTGCAAGAAGCTCAAGGGAAGTATCGTTGGAGAGATGGGAGTTATTACACTGGTGAATGGAAGAACGGTTTGATTTGTGGCGAAGGTACTTTTGTTTGGTCGGATGGTAGTATATACGAAGGGTTTTGGGACGATGGTTTCCCTAGTGGAAACGGTACTTTCAAATGGGATGATGAGAGGTTCTACGTTGGTCATTGGTCTAAAGACCCTGAAGAAATGAACGGTACTTATCATCCACCAGAGATCGAAGAGAACCTTGAATGGGATCCTAAAGAAGTGTTTAATAGTTTGAGTGAGTATACTATATGCAGTGGTGAGAGGGTTCCTGTGTTGCCTTCACAGAAGAAGCTCTCTGTTTGGAACTCTTCAAAGCGTGTAGAGAAGCCAAGGAGGATCTCTGTTGATGGGAGGGTGAGTGTTGGTTTAGATAGAGCGTTTGAGAAGATGAATATGTGGGGAAGTGAAAGCGGTGAAGGTGCTGCTGATATTGATTCCAACACAAGAAGAGATTTAGATGCTGAAATAATGAGACTTGAGGCTGAAGGCTTCATTCAGAGCTTGAAACCTAGCCCTGTGCCTATGAGATTGCCTAGGGCAGGGAAGAAGCAAGGCGAGACAATATCGAAAAGTCATCGAAATTACGATCTTATGCTTAATCTACAGCTTGGAATCAGGTAACCTATTCACCAGTTATAGCACTTGAAACTTTGTTGATGTTTAATGGTTTTGAATCTTTTGATTAAGCAGACATGCTGTTGGGAAACAAGCTCCTGTTGTGTCTCTTGATCTTAAACATTCAGCTTTTGATCCAAAGGAGAAGGTGTGGACAAGGTTTCCACCAGAAGGAACCAAATACACACCTCCTCACCAATCTACTGAGTTCAAATGGAAAGACTATTGCCCATTAGTTTTTAGGTGAGACACCACAACACTAGTCTCTACTTAATTCTCATTTGGTGCATATTCTTGCACTATGTTATGCTAATTCATCTATCTTCAGGAGCTTGAGGAAGCTATTCAAAGTAGACCCAGCTGATTACATGTTATCGCTATGCGGTAATGATGCCCTCAGGGAGCTATCATCCCCTGGTAAAAGTGGAAGTTTTTTCTACTTAACAAATGATGATCGTTACATGATAAAGACAATGAAGAAGTCTGAAACTAAAGTGAGTTTTCTTTTTCTTCAAGTTACCAAATGAAGAAAGTGTGGCTGCTAACAACTACTAACTGCTCTCATGAATTATGATGAGGCAGGTGTTTCTGAGGATGCTTGCAGCATATTACAACCATGTTCGAGCCTTTGAGAACACTTTGGTGATTAGATTCTATGGTCTACACTGTGTGAAACTGACTGGAACAATCCAAAAGAAGGTAACTAAGAAGTGACAATAATGCTAAATGAAAATATAAAAAAGAATGTGGCTTGGATCTTGATTTAGTTCATCTCTTTGTAGGTGCGATTTGTTATTATGGGAAACCTATTCTGTTCTGAATACTCTATCCACAGACGTTTTGATCTGAAAGGATCTTCTCTTGGTCGTACAACCGATAAACCAGAATCTCAAATCAACTCTAACACAATCTTGAAAGATCTTGATCTGAATTTCATATTCAGACTACAGAAAGCTTGGTACCAAGAATTCACCAGGTTAGAAGAACACAATCCTTTTCTAGGTGTTTACAAGTTTCCTTATATGACCATTGTTGTTGTTTTTTTCAGGCAAGTTGATAAAGACTGTGAGTTTCTAGAACAGGAAAGAATCATGGACTACAGTCTTCTGGTCGGGATTCATTTCAGAGAAGCATCAGTGGCTGGAGAGCTGATTCCTTCTGGAGCACGCACGCCTATTGGTGAGTTTGAAGATGAAACAGCCCCTCGTCTCTCCAGGGCAGACGTGGACCAGTTTCTATCTGATCCCACAAGGTAAGTAAACACTAAACACACACAAAAAAAATTTGAACTCCATCCTCAAGTCTAAGAAATGGGGTTGGTTGTTGTAGGTGGGCTAGTATCAGACTTGGAGGAAACATGCCGGCTCGAGCAGAGAGGACAATGAGAAGGAGCGACTTGGAGTTCCAGCTTGTTGGGGAACCAACAGGAGAGTATTACGAGGTTGTCATGATCTTTGGAATCATAGACATTCTTCAAGATTATGACATCAGCAAGAAACTTGAACATGCTTATAAGAGTATCCAGTACGACCCTACTTCAATCTCAGCCGTTGATCCAAGGCTGTACTCGAGACGTTTCCGTGATTTCATCTTCAAGGTCTTCACTGAAGACGATTGAAACAAGTCTCCTCTCCTCTGTTTCTGGCCTTGTTAAGTTTTCTTGTAGGTCAAGAAATAAAGACTTAGGTATATATATATACTCCCTACCTTGCAGCCACTACTTTTTAAATTTATTTCTAAGATGTGCTGATTTTATAATAAACTATGTACAACAGTTATGTGAATTAATCACCTAAACGTATTTTCACTTTCTCGTACAAGTTCAACATCCTTTCACTTAACTCTTAGCAATTCATTTTGTGATGATCATCCATATTTTCTACTTGAAGATGAAAATACCACAAGAACAAATCCATCTTCGTCCAACCCACTTAACACGTTAGATATCGAGCAATTGTGAACATCCTTGTCTCCAAGTTTAGTCGTGGAAACAGTGAAGACATAACTTGCAACTGCCTTTGGTTGTGAACTTAACGTAATGTTCAATGTCTCTTTGACCCAATACTCGCACCAAGAGTTCTTCCTTCTTTTATATTAGCTTCTTCACTTCTTCTTGCAGCTCTCGTATGCACTTCAAGCTCCGCGAAACCGTCTGAGGGATACTTATTTTCTTCTGCAAGAAAGTAATTATGAAAAAGGGTTCTCAGCATTCTGGTATATTCGATATGCATTTTGAATTACTCTACGTCTTTTCTCACTTCATGTGCAAGATAAGATTCCTAACAAATTCACCTAAAATTCAAAAATATAATGGACATATCAGATTATTTAATTACCGAACGATCTGAGGTTGGAAGACATGAGCGGAGAGATGAGAACAAAGAGTTAATCTTCTTGCGACGGTCACGCTCACTAGCATTGTGATTAAGCTTCTTGATAGCAAACCAATTGTTGTCTATTCCATTTCCCTCCTAAGCAGTTCTGCTGACGAGCCACTCCATAAGTTTCAGGTACCGGAAAATCAAGAAACGTGCCTTGTTGAGGTTTTATTCGGCGAGGTAGTAGCTCTAGTACTCTCCCGTTGATGGCCACACTAAGTGTCTAAATCTTTTTTTTCTAATCCTCTTGAAGCTGTTTCGGTGGGAATATTACTGACTAGTGACTACCGTATATACGAGCAAGGGATTACATAAATAAGTTTATGTTGTTAATTTTATAATCAAGAAACAATATAATATATGTTTTATTCGTTAAGACTATCAAACAAGTATTAAAAAGCTGAATATGAATTCTTGTGAGGCTATCCAGATCATTAAAAATAATCGGCCAATCACAACATTTCGTTTCGCCACGTTAGCATCTGAATTTCGGTTTGGGTTTGTAATTTGTTGAGTCTGTTAGATTTGATTTCTTTGGTTCATTTATCCCACTAGAAGAGGAAATTTCTAAAAAAAATGAGACGATATGGGATCTTTTCATTTTGTCCTTCGGATATCTTCTTCAAGTTGATGAAATGTCTATAAACTATAGCGCCATTCCGATCATCATAACGCAAGAGCCTTACATTAATATGTGATTAACTCTGAGTTTTCCCATGATTATCCAACTACTCCACTAGGAAGCATTCAATCGGCCTCTTAGAATTTTTTTTCGGATTTCACTTTTCATGATGATTTTTATTTATTTATTTTGTATTGTTGCAGATTGGGTGCTTCCTTCCCCTTTTGAACAAACAGCGAGAGTAGCTGCAACGGGAGAATTTGAGTTTGCATAGCGTTTCTCATTTCCTCGCAATGAATAAAGCTCATTCCCTCGCGTTTCTCTACATCCATTCCCTCAAGATCCAGCTTCTATAAGGTCATAATACAAGATATAGAAAGGTCCAAACAAAACTCTCTTGCACCAATTTGGTACTGATTTGAGTTGGTGATTTGTGTATTCCTAGGCGATAACGTGATTCCTGATGTGTACGAGTTTCCATCTGAGTTTCTTGATGGTTTATCTCTCATTTGCCTGCATTAGCTTTGCATAATTTCCAGACCCACATGTGAGTGAGTCCGATTCTTGGTAATATATACACAAGAGACAGAGAAAAATCATAGACAAGAGTTTTGCAACATTACATGATTTTAATATTGTGAAGAACTGGAAAAGAAGGAACCAAATCTACTATAAATAAAAGCCAAATATGAGAGTCCCTAAGGCTGTACACGTATTCAAATTTAATTAGTCAATACGGTGTCTCTGTTTGGCCACATCAGCAACATCTTGGCAGTCATATTTCTGTTGGGTTCATTTCATTTGGGCTTGAAACCTTATTATTTGCGAGGCCCAGAGACCAAACCGAGACCCATAGATGTTGGTATTGTTTTAGGGTTTGTTCTTCATCGCCTCCTCTCTTCTCTCATTCTCTCTCGATGCACTTTCCTATCTCTTGGCCTTCTCCGTTTACAATCAATCAGGTTCCATCTCTTTTTACCTCTCTCTCAATATCATGCATTTCCCTCCTGAATTTCCATGATGCATTCGTTGGAGCTTTTTAGTAGGGTCGGAGTTGCAGAAACATGGTAAGATTATTCCAACTCGCTCGAAGCTGCTTAGTATAGACACATAAACTTCCGTTTATCGCTATCTTATATTTGATCCATGTCTTCTTACAGCCTCTAACAAAGAGACATCGAACAGGATTGTGTATGAATTTGTTGTTTTTTTATAGATAGGTTTATGATATTGTTGACGGTGGTGTGGTTCCTTCGGTGAATCCGGGTCTTGCGCTTGGGTTGGCTCCCGGAGGCGGAGGATCCGGGAGGGATTTGGAGAAGTTGAGTTCGGTTTTGGTGCCTAAGTCACTTCAGGGTAAAAGATCAAAACCGTAACTTGTTATGTTCTGTTTTTTTTTTTAATATATATGTTATATGTTCATCTTCGTGCTGTCATCAGTTGTAATGAAATTCAAGGAGAAGCAAGCAGCTTGTGAAGCAGCAGATCAATGAACTGTAATTAACTTTATAATGTACCAAGAGTTTTGACTGCAACTGCATGCATAATAATCTTACAAATATTTTAAAATAAATATATTAACAGTTCAAAGACAATTAAAAAAGTAACTGCTTACACATCCATTTTATTAAACGAGAATTGTTTTTAAATATATATTATCAATTATACAAATAAATATATATTTATACAAAATTAAAAATAAACACTGCGGGTGTACTTCTCTGATGTTTATTTTGTTTATATGACAAATAAATTTTTAGCAGCCACAAAAATAATGCAATGTAGTACGACTAATTAACTTTAGAAAACACATCATAAAAAAGAAAAAAAATTTAAAATAAAAATAAAATCCGCACGGTCGTGCGGGTCAAAGTATAGTTCAAAATATTTAATAAAAATTAAACGATAAACTTTTTATATATACATTTTATATTGTAACATAAATATTTAAACTAAAAACACTCATGCTTTTGAAATATTTAATAATAAATTAAATATTTAATTTCTTACATATGAAAAAGTTTTATATGCATTAATATATAAATAAAATTGTACACAATATATGCATAGATTTATATTTTATAATTTATAAATATTTGTAAAAATATATAATTTAAAATATTTTTTTTGAATAACACAACATAAACTATTTTTCAACAATAATAATTATCAAATCAAGGAAATTTTTTAATTTATTTTTAGTATAGTTTTTTTAGATAATGATAATTACCAAATCAATGAAATTCATTTAAAATTTATGGTTAATTATAGATTAATTTACATTTAGTTTATGGTTAATTAATATAAACTATTTTAATATACATATACCGCATGATTTTAATTAATTATCTATCTCTTATATTATTTATGATCATTTAAGTTACTCTTTTATTTTTTATTCTAAAATAGTAAACACTTAATAATCATTAAGCCTCTTATATTTGAAAAAATACAATGATACCAATCCACAAATGTTATTTAAAAAATAAACTATACATAAACTATTTATTAACTCATCTGCGAGTAGCGCGGAGAAAAACTCTAGTTTAATTAATAATAGGTTATACGACTTAATTATGATACTTGAAAAAATAAATATTTAGGTCTCCATAAAGGGCATAGGTTGACACGAGCCAAGAGCCTATTTTCCACGCTCAAAACAGGTCCAGTCACCATCGGGATATTGAACAATAATCAAAACACGAACATTACGTGTATCAAACTATGAGAAGATTATTATTTACTTATTGAAATATGACACAGCTTAAGAAATTGTTAGCGACTCGTGGAAATCAGGTGGAAGACGCTTTGGGCGTCTTCCTCGTCCCAAGCATTTTCGATGGTGTGTAAGCCTATAGATAAGCATCTTCATGTTGTTAGCGTATAGATTAGCATTTTGAAGTTATATTTATCTCCAGTTTAGAATATTTAGGTCAACTTGATGCCATCTATGTCTACACTAAAATATGTCTAATTTTGTTATTCTTCCGAGAACTTGTCAAAAATATTCCCAAATTGTAAATGTGAATCAGTAAGGTTTCATTGATTCTTATGCTGACCCACATTTCTAAACTTATATACTTTGAAAGCTACATCTATCATCCTGTAAATTCATATTTTTATATGTCATATATGTTTTAATTAAATCAAAAGAAACAAAATTTCTCAAAAACAATTAGAAATTCATTTTTATTACTTAACCAAAATAAACCAAGTACTAAGATCTTTTCTTCAAAACCAAAACTCTAGTTTTTCTTTCTATGATGCCTCCCCTAATCGTATCGGCTTTTAAAGCAATTTTTTTTTTAAATTCTTTCATCAATAAAGCAGAGTCGATCAAGACTTTATATATAAACCTAGATAAAGAAATAAAAAATAAAAAAAATAATTCCAAGATTTTTTTCTTTTGTCAACATTCCAAGATCAGTTAATGGACAAGCGGCTTTTCATTTATTTAACGCTTCTTTGTTAACTCTTTAAATGGCAGGACTCAGGACCAGACTCATGAATAAGTGCAACTTGCTCACTTGCATAATTATTACACCCAAAATTAGTAGTTGCAATAAAAATACACTCTTTCGTTTTTCCTCATCTTAATTAATAATACATCTAAACTCAACTATAACTTTCAAGTATTGAACTATAAACTATAACAAAAATAATAAACAAAGAGTAGTAGGCGACTTGACTTAAAAAGAAAAAAAAGAGTAGCAGGCGACCTACGTCCCGTAATAAAAGGTTTTGCCAGCCAAAAATATTATACTAGTATTTGTAACCGGTAATAATATTGAACTAGGTATTTTGTCCGCTCATGCAGACATAGTCGTGTTACAAATATTTATATTACATTTACTATTAAAATGTGTAAAATTACATTGAAAATAACATTATCAGAGTTTACAAAATTTAATTTTTGTTTATACATCTTATTTCTTATTTATTTTTATATTTTAAACGTGTTGTCGGATAACAACCACGTATATTGAAAATAACATTATCAGAATTTACAAAATTTAATTTTTGTTTATACATCTTATTTCTTATTTATTTTTATATTTAAAACGTGTTGTCGGATAACAACCACGTATATGTAAGAATTATCTTTTTAAAAAGAATATGTAATTTTGATTTAAAAATAATAATTTATAGTTATCCAATATAACATATAAAGTTGATATTATTAATTGATAATTCATTTTTAATTTAAATTATTTAATAATATTATATTATATATAAAAGTTCATTAAGAGTAATATTGATATTAACCACTCCAACTTTTAACGTGGAAGTTCTGTTGCGAAAAATCACTACGCAAATAATAGTATAGATTACACTTACTATTAAAATGTGTACAATTACATTGAAAATAACATTATTAGAATTTACAAAATTTAATTTGTTTATACATCTTCTTATTTCTTATTTATTTTTATATTTAAAACTTGTTATTGGATAACAACCAAGTATATTTAAGAATTATCTATTTAAAAAGAATATATAATTTTGCTATTTTTATTAATTTATAGTTATCCAATATAACATATAAAGTTAATATTATTAATTGATAATTCGTTTTTAGTTTAAATTATTTAATAATATTATAATATATATAACAGTTCATTAAGGGTAATATTGATATTAATCACTCTAACTTTTAACATGAGAGCTCCGTTGCGAAAAATCACTTCGCAAATAAATATAGATCCAAGTGTAAACAGGAAATATTATTGTTGTAATTGACATTATAACTGTTTAGATAAATATATATTATGTATTTATTTAACATTAGCAATCAGACAAGTATTGTTTAGTTACCAAATAATGTTTAACTAGGTGTTTTGTCCGCACCTGCGGGCTTAATTATTTTTAAGATAATTTAAAAAATCATCAAAATAAATGATTATTTTCATACAAAAAATTAGACCTAAAACATTAAATATTTTTACATGATAAAATTATTCATAAATTAAAAAAAAAATATTTTTCCCTTTAAAACTTTGAAAACAAAATAAAATCTGTTTCATTTCTTCTCAATTGAAAAAAATATAGAAACCTATCTTTCAATTTGATAAATTGAATCAATAAATACACATTCAAAAATTGATCTTACTAAAAGAATAATATTAGTTTGGATAATAATACAATATATTTGAATTTATTTTGTCAACAACGTATTTTTTTTTCTTTTTGAATGATCTTTTATTTTATTATGATTAATTCATGTTTAATGTTCAACTAATATATATCATTATGTTATATTATTATATTATTTTAATTAGAAAATGATTACGTATTATAATTTTTTTCAATTATGTACAACTAAAAAGTTACTTTATGAGTATTTATTTATGTGTTTTCTGTTTTTGATTTTTTATTAAAATATATTTTAGAAAATAATTACATATTATAATTTTTTTTCAAATTTCTCTTTTCAATTATGTACAATTAAAAAGTTACTTTATGAGTATTTATTTATGTGCTTTATGTTTTTGATTTTTTTATTAAAATACATTTACCGGATAATAACACAATATATATAGGAATTATCTTTTTTTCTTTTTAAATATATATTTAGATTATGGATAATTCTTATCATTATTATTAATTTAAATCATTTATCTAATCAAATAAATATCAATTTCGTTTTTATTTTATGTCTAATTTATATATTTTATTCATTAAGGGTATAAACGATATTAACCATTCTAACTTTTAACGTGAGAGTTCCATTACGAAAAATCACTTCGCAAATAATAGTATAGATTCTGGTTGGTATATTTTGTTTTGGTTAATAACTCAAAAATAACATACAAACTTTGACACATGCACAAAACCGATAGTATTATACACATGAAGGAGTTGGGCATAGATTTAGCATGTAGTAATCGATCATTGGCTTCCACACAAAGAATAAAGTCACAAACCGAAACAAGTCGACTACAATACTCTTCAAGAATGTTAAATTTTCAAGAGAAAAGGACGACCTAAATAAAAGAAACAAGAACAAATTATCCTCTAATATGAGTTCCACATTCCTCATACAAATACAAGATCCTCTGACTAAACTCTGAGTAATTCAGCTTGTAATCATCAGTATATCCCACTTGAAGATGCAAAGTGTAGAAAACTCTTTCTCCATGAGACCTTGGCGACGAAACATCCAAAAGAACAAACCCATCTTCTTCTAACCCACTTAACACATTAGATATCGAGAAATTATGACTCTTGGACGATGAGATCTGGACCATCATTTCATGGTCTCCAAGCCTAGTCGCAGACACGGTTGAGACATAACGCGCAACCACCTTTGGTTGCTGTTCAATGTCTCTTTGACCCGATACTCGCACCAAGAGTTCTTCCTTCTTTTGCATCAGCTTCTTCACTTCCTCTCGCAGTTCCGGTATGTACTTCAAACTCCGCGAAACCGTTTTTGGAATACTTAGCTTCTTCTGAAAGAGAGTAAAGAAATAGAGTTAATTCAATGTTCTTCCTCTACATTATATAGAGAGACATATGACTTATTAGAGTAGCTACTTACCGAATGATCAGAGGCTGGAAGACATGAACGAAGAGATGAGAACAAAGAGTTGATCTTCTTGCGACGATCACGCTCGCTTGCATTATGATTAAGCTTCTTGGTCACGACCGGGTTGTTGTCTATTCCAGTTCCTTCCGAGGAAACAGAAACCCCTAAGTTGTTCTGTTGATGAACCACTCCAAAAGTCTCCGGTTCCGGAAAATCAAAAATTGTGCCGTTAATGAGGTTATCCCCAGCACCGTAATAGCTCTCGTATTCTCCCGTCAACGGCCAAACGAAGTTTGGGAACGATGGAGGGACTAATGCACACATATTGTTTGCTTAGTTAGAGACACGTTTATAGCTTATGTTTTATGTTTGAAGTTTTTTGGGCTGAAATATTAGTGTCTCTCGATTATATAGTGGATAACGGATTTAAGAAATAAATCTGTGTTGTTATATATTAATTGACAAATTATATAAAATTTTATAATTTGATTCGTTCAGACTAATGTGTTATACTTCTTTTTTTTGGACAAAATATGTGTTATACTTACATTTTCTATAAAGATAAATAAGTAAGTTTATGTAGGGCACAGGTTGGCACGTTCAAGAGCTTATGTTCCACGCTTGCACTAGGTCCAGTCATCCTTGGATATAATGTATAGGAAATGAAAAACGAATATTAGAACTATAATAAGATTATTATTTACATACAGAAATATGAGTCAGCATTAAGAAATTGTTGTAGGCGTGTGGAAATCAGGTGGAAGATGATTTTCGTTTTCTCTTCCCGGACACTTGGTTGTTGTAAGCCTATACATAAGCATCTTTGATGTTGTAAGCCTATACATAAGCATTTCAATTTTTAATAGCTTTATCTTAATTAGGTACGGCCTCGATATTTAATACAAAGCCATTCTTTATAAATACTGAGGTCAACTTGATATCTGTCGAAATTAAAATATGTTCTGGTTTGGTTGTTCTTTCAAGATCAAAAAATTGTAAATGTGAATCCATGAGGTTTCAGAGATGCTTATTGTGACCCCGCATTAGATTAATATAATACTCCGAAAGCTACATTTGTGATCCTGTAAATTTATATTTTTAACAAGCCAAATAAATGAGAATAAAAGTTTTAAAACTGTCCAACACAAAAAATAGATACGTTTTGCAACAAAAGAAATTTCCAAAAATATTTTAAGGAAAACAAATTACCAACCAATTAAGTATTCTTTTGCCAAACCATTTGATGAGATCATCGTCTATTTCGGTTAAAGATGAGAATGTAAATATTACTTTTTCTGATTCAAATTTTTATAATTTTTCAATCTGGCTAATGTGTACCTCTCCATATATAAAATCTAAGATCGTTGCCAAAAAAAAATTCCAAGATCAATGGATAACTATGGCTTATCATGTATTATAGTGTTTTCTAACCTGGCCAATGTGTTTTTCTTTATATATAAACTCCAAGATCAATGGATAACTATGGGTTCTCTTTTTTCATGTACTCTAATGTTTCGTACCCTTTAAATGCCAGGGCCATTCCTTAAGAGAATTTTCAATGTGTTACTCAATTTTATCCTTCAATATGGAATAATTTCATAACGTTGTTTGATTTTACTCACACCGAATAAATACGTTTCCACATTCCTCATACAAGTACAAGATGGAGCATTTCTTATTCTAAATCTTGTTTTATCGTGAAAAATAAAATGACGTTGACGATACTCTAATAGTATTATCACTAGTATATAACAAATTTATAACTTTTTAATAAAATTTTGTCCATGATATAATATTTGCGATACAGTAAATTATGAGGACCACTTTTGTCTTTGTTGATTTTATTAATACACAATACGCAACTAACTATTAACAATACGTAAATGATTAAAAAAAAAACATAAACAAAGAGTAGAAGACGACTAAAAGTTGGGCAGCCAAAGACTAAAGTTTAGATAAAAATAGAAGTTTTCAGCGGTAACATGGATTTCATAGTAATCAGTCAATATTCAATAGCATGTAAATGTAATAATCGATCATTGACTTCGACAAGAAAAATAAACGAAACAACTTGACTACATGAGGAATGTTAGATGTTGAGAAACGGATTGCATAACTAAAGAAACAAGAACAGATTTTCATCTAGATGAGTTTCCACATTCCTCATACAAGTACAGCATTCTCTGGCTTAGCTCTTCACACGTCAGTTTGTGATTATCAATATTTCCCATTTGAAGATGCAAAGTGTAGAAGAGCCTATCTCCATGAGACCTTGAAGATGTAACATCAACAAGAACAAACCCGTCTTCTTCTAACCCACTTAACACATTAGATATCGAAAAGTTATGATTCTTGGACGATGAGATTTGGACCATCACTTCGTTCTCTTCAAGCCTAGTCGCAGAAATGGTCGAGACGTAATGTGCAACGGCCTTTGGTTGCGGCTCAACGTAATGTTCAATGGCTCTTTGACCTGATACTCGCACCAAAAGCTCTTCCTTTTTTTTTATTAGCTTCTTTACTTCCCCTTGCAGCTCTGGTATGTACTTCAAGCTCCGTGAAACCGTCTGAGGAATACTTAGCTTCTTCTGCAATAAAGCAATTAAAGAAAAAGAGTTAATCAAATACTCTCCATCTAAATGGTATAGATAGCAAGCATATTATAAATGTCACATAAAAATAATGTAATGAGCAGCCTAATTATTTAATTATTGCTAATCGGTTTTGAGGTGAAACTGATTAGAGGATATAGCGGAGTAGCTACTTACCGATTGATCAGAAGCTGGAAGACATGAACGGAGAGATGAGAACAAAGAGTTGATCTTCTTGCGACGGTCACGCTCACTAGCATTGTGATTAAGCTTCTTGGTCACGACCGGATTATTGGCTATCTCATTCCCTTCCGAAGAAACAGAGACCCCCAGCATTTCATGAATCTCCTTATGATGTTCCACTTCATATGTCGCCGGTGCTGGTAAATCAAGAAACGTAAAGTCGTCGAGGTTCTCTCCGGCCAGGTAGTAATTACTCTCGTACTCTCCTGTCGACGGCCACCCAAAGTTTGGGAATACTGGAGGGACTAATGCACACATTTTTTTTGGGTTAATGACAAGTTCTAAGATTCTGTTTTCTCTTGAAGCTGGGACTGCCCTGAATTATAGGTGGAAATATAATTGTAGATATATTTATAACCGGATAATAGGATAAAATAAACAAATAAATCTCTATTTGTTAAATTAAATCTAAGAAACTATATAGTAAGTGTTTCCGAAGTGTTATACGACGACTTACTTATACTATAGAGAGAAATATTTGGATCTCAGGACGTAAGTGGGCACATGCCAGAGTCTACTTAACACACGAGGACTATGTCCAGTCACCATTAATAAGAATATTGCTTGCATTAAGAGCAGACTCGTTTACATTAAAGAATTAGATTTCACATACTGAAAGATGAGTCAGCCTCAAAAAAGTGTTGGAGGCTCGTGAAAATCAGGTGGAAGAAGGTTTGGGCAAACAATTTTAATGCTGTAAGCCTATACATAAGCAATTTGTAAGCATATACATAAGCATTCTATTTATTTGTTGAACGAACCCCCAAAAGAATCATTATATTAAATAAATGTTAAATTCAATAAACAACTGTCGATATGATGATCTATCATGTAAAGGCATTATCGACCTAGGGTCAGCTTCATTCATTACCTTCAGAAAGAGTAAGCAAATTATGTTTCTCTGATTCAGACATGAGACTAATACATTTCAAGAACGGCTCAAAATTATTCCAAAATTGTAAATATGAGCCAAAGTTTCCATAGTTTTCAAGGTTCAATAATCCTCAACGCTTTGCTTCCCAACCTGTTTATTGTAGAGGTGAATAAATTTTGATGCATCAGTATAAATCACATTCGTTTGCCGTAATGTAGTCTGAGTGATTACTTTAAACACATGGAATCAAAATATGTTTATATGATTCAGACATTATAATTACAGAAATTGCACCACTATTTAAAAAAAAAAACTCAAACTCACCGACTAACCAAATTCATCTTCTCTCTCATTTTTTTCTTCTTTCTATTTCTGTTTCTCTCCATCTTCTTTCTAAAATTTTAATGATGAATTTTTTTGATCATTTCACAAATAACCACTTATAATAACACATTTCAAGCAAGTTCAAACAAAAAATAACAATACATTTCAAACCCGGCTAAAAAAACGGCTCAAATATATTTCAAAATTATAAATATTGGAGATAATTGGTTGAACTATAAATGTAAAAAATTAATTGTAAGATTTAGTTTATAAGTTTTTATTGTTGTAACGATATGTTAGTTTGCTATATAAAGATCATACAATTTATAAAGCAATTTAATAGTTATTTTAATAAAAAAAAGTAAAACATAAAATAAAGTTATAGATAATGTAGCAAGACTTTTAACTGTAAAAATAAAGCTACAACATTGGTTAGAAGTTAGAACTAGTATTTAAAAATAAATAAAACTAAAATTTTAAGTTAAAAGTCAAATTCCAACCAAGCATCACTATTGTCTCTCTTTTTATTGAGGCTACTAAACCCCCTAAATCTTTAACAGGCTTAATTTAAGCACAAGGTGCCTTGTTTTTCTTTTAGATAAAGCACAATGGGCCTTTAAACAACTAATACAGCTGAAACAAAAAGAAAAACCACCTAAGCGTTTAAATCAGGTTCATCTATCGAACCACTTTGTTTCAGTCGCCTGCATACTTGAATCTCAAGTTTCTTCTCTCTCTAGCGATTCTTCATCAAAGGGTTAGTTTATTTATGGTTTTACTTTCAAAGAGATCAAAATCTCTTTAACCAAAAAGGCTTATATATATCAATCAGTGTTCTACCCTTTGTCTTGACGTACCACTTGTCTGTATACTACTCCATTGTTCAACAAAATTTTCTTGATCTTTGACCCATACAATCTTTCTAGGCCACTAGTCTCGATAGTAGTAAACTATTCTTTCTCAGATATACGCTCGAACATGGGACCGGTGACTCGTTTTTGTTACTGTCTATATAAGAAACACTGTTGGATCGGCACACTACAAGGGAAATGGGTAAAGATAGCATAAGAAGATAACGTTTTGGTCGAAAATGCTATCGTTGATATATCTCTTTCTTTAAGATAGCGTTTCATAATGTACATGCTATGTTTTATTTTTAAAACGCTATCTTTAGTTAGACGAAAGTTTTTTTCATTTTCCCGCTAAGTACTTAGTGAAAAAAGAAGTGGCCAAATTTTTTTGTTTTCCCACTTATTTTTAGCTAAAATTAAAAAAAAAAAGAAAAAAAAGAGAAAAAAAATATTTTCACGTTTTACACACTCTAGTTTCTTCCTCTTCTCTTCTTATCTCAACTCTTCCTCTGATCCTCTCCATTTTTTTTTCTGAAACACGACGGAGAGATGAGATATGAGACAGAGATGAAAGATGACAGAGAGAGATGAGAGATTGAGATTACAAGAGGAAAAAGAAGAGACCAGTCTGAGTTCGTTGCCGTCGTCATCCCCCGAGAACGCCTTGCCCCTCTGCAGCCGAATCCGAACCCAACAGTACCCACAAGAACAACCCATCACCGCTCGAAGACAACGACGGTGAGATTCACTCTCGTCATCAACCCATGTTTTCGATTAGGGTTTCCATTCGTTTCAGTTTTAGGGTTTGGATTTGTTTCAGTTTAAGTGTTTTGATTGGGGCTTTTGCGATTAGGGTTTTGATTTGTTTCAGTTTAAGTGTTTTGATTGGGGCTTTTGTGATTAGGGTTTGATTTGTTTAAGTGTTTATGTATCTAGATCTGTCACAGAGAAGCTTTAGTGATGACCATTACAACGAAATGGTGGTGGTGATGTCGATGACGACGGAGAGAAGACAAATATCTCGGCTTGGTCGGCGTGAATCCTCCTGGTCTTTTCAGCTTCGTGAAGAACAGATGGAACAGATGGAGGCTAAAGGTATCAACTTTCTTCATTGTTTGATATGCTTATTGTCTTTTTATACTCTTGGTTGTTCACTTTGTGTCTGGTTTGCTTGAACTCTTGCCTTCCTTTGAGTATAGGTTGGAAGGAAAACAAGGCTAGGAAGAGATAGTAAAGAAAGCGAACCAACATCCATTTTACCAAGTCACTGATTCTGTATAACTTATGCAAGCTAAAATTACAGTTAGCTTCTGGAAATAGTCCTATGTTAGCATATAGTTCTATGAAAAGCTTTAAGCTTTCTCTCTGAGGTTTAATTCAATAGTCGAATCTCTCTGTTACAGGTAGACGTTCTTGGCTCATACAGAACGAGGCTTTATCTTCCACCAAGTGATATCTATGTAAGTTGTTCATCTTTCTCATATGTTTGGTATTTGATTCTGTGGTTACTCTTCCTTTTATCGTAAGAGTGAGTCTTAACATGTAGATTTGTAAGGTAGCGTATACTTTTGTGTGTTGAATAGATGTCTAAACGTTTTTTTTAAGTCTCGTGTACCAATTATCAACTTTTCGTCGAGAAGAAAAGCACTATTTCATTTGATCGATGGTTATTATACACAAAAAAGGCAAATCTTTGTTAAATCTCAGTGATTGTTTCTTGATTAATTGCAGCTCATCTCAATGGTCTAAACCAAGCTGGATCTGATGGTCTCAAGGCTAAGTCCAAGGACGGTGAAGACTATGTATGAACAACCTCCTATTTCTTCATGTTCTTTTATGTCTCTTGTTCAGCTGCTGAGAGACAGAAGATGGTAGAAGACATGGAAAGAGACTTTGAAGGTATATTCTCAACATACCCTTCCTACCTATAGCCGCTACGAAAGATCTTGAACAACTAATCTGAGACAAGTTTAATGTATTGTTACAGCTGCTAAAAGACAGTATGCTTGAAGAAATTGAACATTAATTCGAAGGTATCTTATTATCATATGCAATAGAACCCAACTATAAAAGAGTTCACTGATGATGATCAACTGTTTTATATTAAATCAGAGTTGACTGAGTAATTCACAAGCAGTGGAGGAGGAGAAGAATGCACAGGAGTTGCCTAAGACTGACGTCTGAGCTTGAACTTAGCTTTAGATTTAGGTTTAACTTTGGTTTATTTTTGGTTTATGTTTTTGGTTTAGGTTATTTTGTAAACAATTTCAGTATACAAAATTTTTAATATATTTATCTCTTTTTCATATTTTATATATTTTTTTTTAAATTTTATTAATGTTATTACAGCAATTATTTTCCGCTATTATAAGTTATATAATTGCATAATTAATAAACGCTATCAAACTTTATTTTAATATTGCATACGCAAAAACGCTATCTAAAGTGCTGAAGAAAAGATTGCAGGGGCAGACACAGCGTTTGCCATAACGCTGTGTTTCGCTATAATAGCGTTTTTCCGATGTTATATATGTGATATTTTCTTGTAGTGGCACTAAATTTGAATACAAACAAGATATCACAGAAACAGAGTTAACGTGCACATAGACGTGGTTTATCAGAACTATCTTGTAACACCTGTCACCGCCTACCTGGAGTACGACGTGTCATCCCCGACGCGTCATCAAATAATAATGTGACACCCATCACTTTCTATGTGGAGTACAACGTGTCATCCCGAACACGTCATCATATAATAATGTGACACCTGTCTCCCTCTCTCTAGGGACGATGGACCACAAACAATATCTTGTAACATAAAAGTCCATAAGCCCAACTACACTCACCTAATCCCAAATAAAAATTCGAATAAGAAGCCACTAGCACCAAGTTCGTCCAAATATCACTTTGTTGTTTGTCTAACCTGAAAGAGAGGAAGAAAGAGGGGTGAGCGACTGGGGGGTCACTTAGTGAGATATGGAATGCTACCCCGAAGTCCGTAAATCCGGACATAGCACTCCGAATAAATATAAATTAATTCTAATGCATGTCAAACATGGTACCTAAAGTGATACGCCCTAAGAACGGATCACTCAGCCGGATCGGTTTGGATATGAACTCCGAGTGGAGAACTGATGGATCGAACGGTCGCACAAAGGTTGCGGAATGGCCTTTGATATTCCCGAGCCTAATTGCCACCTGATATGATGCACAG